CGTACCAAACAAAGGCCTTTTCCATTAACTTATTGCCCCCTCACCTCTCTCTCTCTCTGTCCTTCCTTCCTCGCAGTGTGTTCTCTACCTCTGGTCGCTCAAGATCAACCATCCCAGCACGCTCTTCCTCCTGCGCGGGAACCATGAGTGCCGACACCTCACGGAGTACTTCACCTTCAAACAGGAATGTAAGTGTGTGTGTGTGTCTCAGAGTGCGGAGGCATTAGTGTGCACACTCGGGTCTTTTGGCAGACAGCAAAGACGAGCCTGCCATCTGCAAATGGATGCAGCTCACAGCACCTCATCTGGCCACCGGCGTGCCGCCAGTCACCGGTTAGCCGCTGCTCGTTTGATGCCACTCAAAGAATTACAGTACTTTTCGTTTTATGGCAGTCAAGCGTATGTGAGTTTGGCAAACTGCCCTTCTTTCCTTTGTTTTTGGCCTTTCCATCAGTGGCTGGCAGATAAATGGACTCTGGGGGGTGTTATGACCTGTAGTGGGACGAGACGGGCCGATTGAGTCGATGTGAGGAACGATCTGTGCCATCATTGCCAAGATGACTAGAGGCTGATCGTCTCTCTCTCTGAAGAAGATTCAGTGCACGTTCCAACATCGCGGCCTGCGATACAAGTGGAAAATAGTTCCCGGGGGGACAATGACATCCAGCTAGGATTCAATCTTAATTCATCGTATCATATCATTTATTTCCGATTCCAATTGTGTTCAGTGCTGCTCACGGGTTACGGTGGAAATCTCATCCAACAGATTTATTTTTCAATTGGGAGATATTGTTATGAAGCGCTTTGCATCGTGTGTTGCATTAAAAACATCTTAAGTAAAACCCCAATTAAAAGTTATTTGAGATTTGTTTCTAAAAACGGACAAATAAATGTCATGTAGAAGTGTAACTTCCGCGGTGCGGAGAAAAGGGTCCCGAGACAGAGGATGTCACGTGTGTACAGACTGTAAAGCCCTCTGAGATTTCTTTTGATTTGAGGCTATGGAAATAATTTTTTTTGAATTACATAGAAAAATAAAACCCCTCCGATCCCACCTACCGACACATTTTAAAGGGGAAAAACCAAAATTATTTGATAAATCCATCCAAGAGCAATCAAGTTAAACAAATGCAATTACATTTTTTTTTTGTTTGTTTGTGAATAACAAACCTTAGCGTGTAGGTGTCTCTTCACACACAGATTTGAGTCTTAAATTCCAAATTCCCGCGGCCGATACAGCTAAAAGGTTTCAATTTCAAATACAACGCCTTAATCTCTCTACAACTTCAACGCAGCAGTCACTCGGTGCTCACGTCTTCCCTTCAGTCTCCTGATGGACCTCCATAGCGCCCAGACCTCTCTGGTTACTCTGCCTTCGGTTGAACTGCATATAAACGAGGGCCGATGCTTTTGTGTTTTCTGCAGGTAAAATCAAATACTCTGAGCGGGTGTACGACGCCTGCATGGAGGCCTTCGACTGTCTGCCCCTCGCCGCTCTGCTCAACCAACAGTTCCTGTGTGTGCACGGCGGACTCTCACCAGAAATCAACTGCCTAGACGACATAAGGAAAGTAAGTGATCACTAAGTCTGGGTGAAATCCAAAAGATATTTAATCATTTAAATTGCCTGCTTTAATGAAAAAACTGTCTTTGAAATGTGCGTTTGTTTTGCTCAACAGTTAGACAGGTTTAAAGAGCCTCCGGCGTTCGGGCCCATGTGTGACCTGATCTGGGCGGACCCCGGCGAGGACTACGGCAGCGAAAAGACCACCGAACATTTCAACCATAACTCCGTCAGAGGCTGCTCTTACTTTTTCAGGTAGCAGACGGCGTCGCTGCCGTTCTCCCTCAGCAGCAAACCTTCAGAGCAGATATATATATATATATATATATATATATATATATATATATATATATATATATATATATGTATATATACATACATACAAATAAACTATTAGTTTCTCTATGTAGACCACAGGGACAAAAAAATGACAAGTGATGATAAAATAGAAAATAGGCCGCTTCACACAGGTCAGATGTGGCTTCACTTTGTTTTTTTAGGTCAAACTACTTATTGAGGCGCTCAAAACAAGTTTGATGAAACAGACTTTTTCAAAATAGGGTAACAGATGCAGGCATGTCATCACGTATTCCTCTTGTAATATTAAAAGCTATGTTCAAACAACGTCAACTCAGTTTTTAGTTTGCATTTTACAAAATGTCACTTTATTTAGATGTTTTGCGTCTAAGTCAAACCTACCCGGATAAAAGATAGAAAACAGAGTTTATGGTCTCAATCTCAAGTTTTGAGTCTTTTTTTTAATACAACATGATGCCCATTTATTAAATAGTGGTCCATTCATGGTCAATAGACCACGCTAGCCGGATGTATGAACTATGGAACGCCTCCACGTTTGTCTTGCTCACTCCATGGACCTCCTTTCGGGCCTTTCTTCTAACAGTCTTTGCCTTTTCTTTCTTGTGCAGTTACTCCGCCGTCTGTGACTTTTTGGTAAATAATAACTTACTGTCGGTAATAAGAGCGCACGAAGCTCAGGATGCCGGGTAAGTAGACTTCTATCTTTCTTCTTGCGTGCTGTGATTAACATGAATATGTTAATGAGTCTTTTGGGTCGGCGGCGCCACAGGTATCGGATGTACAGGAAAAGCCAGACCACCGGCTTCCCTTCACTAATCACCATCTTCTCAGCTCCTAATTACCTGGACGTCTACAACAACAAAGGTGTCGCTCGCTCTCTTTTGCTGCTAGTTGTTGTTTTTCTCTCGTGTTTACCGGCTTCCAGTCGTTGACTCTGCTCCTCTTTCCATCACAGCCGCCGTACTTAAGTACGAGAACAACGTGATGAACATCCGGCAGTTCAACTGCTCCCCGCACCCTTACTGGCTGCCCAACTTCATGGACGTCTTCACGTGGTCTTTGCCTTTTGTTGGAGAGAAAGGTGCGTCTGTTGTTTCCATTGAAAGGAAACGTGAGGAAACCAGTGTGGACGCTGACAAACGTCCTCTCGGGCTCGAGGGGGGACGTAAAAGTGTCCCGTGACCTCAGGAAACGTTGTGGTTAGCTGGCTGGCGTTAGCTCAGGAATGCATTTGCTAAATATGACAATAATAAGAATAAACTTACTGGTGACTCACTGGGTGTCAGAGGAATACAAAGGTGAGGCGCTAATTTCAGTTTAGTATTGAAGTTGATGTTGTGGCATTTTGCTAACGAGCTAACGGCTAACGGCTCACAGCTAGAGGCTCCTTGTTACATTTATATAATTGTTGTTCTATGACACTTTAAGAAATACAGCTTATATTTGGGGAGAAAGTGCAGATGTAACAGCATCCCTTTGGACTAATTACATTTGGTTTGTATCACATCCGAATTCATCAGTACACAGAAGCATTCTTTACCAAACCTCACACAAACCCAAACCAGTCTCATGTTTAACGCCCCCCCCCCTCTCTCTACCTGCCCCCACAGTGACGGAGATGCTGGTGAATGTACTGAACATCTGCTCTGACGATGAGCTCATGTCTGAGGGAGATGACCTCTATGAAGGTAAGATTGAAAAACATCGATACGTTAAATGACAGTAGCAATATTATGTCCCAGGTTGTATTCTATTCATATCAGTGTTTTACCATGTTAATACTTTGTCTCAGACATTACCAAGAAAACACCCCAAAATCTATATCTTTGAAGTTCAGACGGTCGGAATAGATTTTCCTCTTCAACCACATATAATAAACAATCCCTCAGGAAGGGGAGACAATGATGAAGATGTTCATCGGGCTTCAGGCTAAAAATAATACACACCTGTTTGGGTCACACGTTCTCTCCCTGCTTCTATTCGCTTACTCGACATTTCATTGGCAGTTTAGTGTGCAGAATAGAGCGCTCCACGCGCGCTGTGCTGACGATGGTAATGCCACTATTAAAAACATGATCAACCCTCACGTACGGTTCGGGTCCATTCTGACCCTTTGACAGCAGAAAATAAATCCCGTAACGTCATTTATTTAGCCTGACATTTTATAGGATTTTTCCTGAAATAAACCCAAAATCCATAACACTTACAATGAGGAATTTCATATTATTCTTATATTGAATCCATTAACTATGAACAGGATGTCAGGGTTAAACCCCTCGTTTAATCTGTGACGGGTTTGATTCTTTTTTGGCTTCTTCTTTTAAAGAAATATGTATGTAACACTCGTTTAACGCAGTTGAACTCCTTCAGGTGGAACCTCGGCGATGCGCAAGGAGGTGATCCGCAACAAGATCCGCGCCGTGGGGAAGATGGCCCGGGTCTTCGCCGTGCTCAGGTGGGCCCCCCCCCACCCCCCCCCCCCTCCTATTATGTAACTCCTCCTCGGCGGCGTGACGGCACTCAGCGGGGTCGGCGGAGTGCTCGACGAGGTGGCGTTGTGAAGGCTCAATGGTCGGGTTAATGAGCTGGCGCCAGATGAGTCACGGCGCAGGCTGACTGCATAATGACATTAGACATTATTCCAGATTAATGCAGAGCTCGTGTCCCCGGGAGCGTCGCATGTGGGTCAGCCAGAGCCGTCAACTAAAGGAACCATATGAAAACCCCAAGTGTGCCAACGCGAGGCTCGGCGCTTTCCTTTCGAAACCTTTTGCCTCGGCTGCTAAAAAGTGAGCCGGGTAATCAGTGACCCACTTTCAGAAGAGGGACTCGGGTCAGAGGTTTAAGCTTTGTGGCTCACGGCGGGGATTGAACCGGCGACCTTGCGGTTACTCGTAACGCGTGTGCGTACTATTGTATTGTTATGATTAATAGAACTACGCTCATTCTGTGGTTTGTTTATTGCGGCCCAGGGAGGAAAGTGAGAATGTGCTCACGCTCAAAGGCCTCACCCCAACTGGAACTCTCCCCGTGGGAGTGCTGTCGGGGGGGAAGCAGACCCTGCAGACGGGTGAGTGTTATACTCGCGTCTCCCTCTTGTCTGATCTCCTCGCCGGCTGCCTGCCTAACAGCTCCTCGTGGCGATGGGGGAGGCTCAATAAGCCATCGCAGGAAGTTATCGCATGAGCGGCCATCGCGGGAAATGGACACGGCTTCTCCTCCCTCACAAAGACACACACACGCCGCCAGCTTCAGTGGTTTGCGGGTCATTGCACTCATTCTGTCGAGAGCGTTTTCAATGAAAATGTACTTTATGTGAGTGTATATCCCAAAGATAAAGATCAGTGGACGCAGGGAAACTGCTGTTGTTCCTCGTCAGGAGACTGTACAACTTAAACTGACAAAAGCAAGTTGTACTAACTGGAGGGGGGGGGGTTATCCTGTCACCTGGAAGGGGCCACTGGCCCTCTGATCTAAAGGTCAGTGCCGGCCTCAGGTCCTGCTGCGAGTCGCGCTTTGCTGCGGCTGGAGCTTTTGTTGTGGGGAGGGGAAAAAAAAAAAAAACCCCGGGGACCCTCTTCTACAGAAATGTCTGTTCCCCCCCCCCCCCCCCCCCCTTTTTCCCCCAGGGTTTTTATTGGGAAGGGGTTAAAACAGGGAAAAGACCACCCCCTAGTGTTTTTCCCCCCCCCCCCCCCCCCCCCCCCCCCCCGTTCCACTCTTGACTTTGATGCTGCAGCTACTACAAATGTCCTTTTTTCTTTTTTAGGGACAAATGTCCTCACATTAAATGTATCCACTAACATATCTCCAAATAGTCCACATGTGTCG